AAAGTTGAAAAAGGCAATGTTTTTCATTTAATGGCATCTGGTGACCTGACCTTTGACTTGATCTAACAAATGAATGACATATTTTCATCCTTATTTTGGACGTTCTTTCGAATGCCGTTTACTGCTTAACACTGCTTGACCCAGGATCAGAGTTAAAAGAGGGGGTGTTGTACCCCCCCCCCCCCCCAGCAGGGCATGGAAATCAAGGACCCTCAGCGGGGCGCGGGTTAGACATCTTAAGCCGACAACCAAATAAGCCCGTTTTCCTTCGGACGACAACCACCGAAACACTTTTTTCAGCCCTGGCCGAAATGATAGGGTGAACTATGAGACCCACAACAGGTTGAGCAGGGAATAAATCGCCGTGTTTTTTTTCCTTCAAACTCTATAGGTATCTGTTCTCACGTAAATTTCCGACAGGTTGAAAAAAGCTTGAGTAAAATACAGTGACTCGGTTTTCTGAAGTTTGTCTGTCTCAGCAGATCAAGCAATGTCAGAACAAGCTCACATGCTTGATACTTGATCAGGATCGAATAATTGATTGGACTTTTTAAATTGGATTTTTCGTGCTTCCGGGCAATTCACGGGAAGAAGATCAGGGTTTGGAAAAAACGCGTCGAAATGACCGGCTATGGTGTTTTCCCCCTAAAAAAGTGTGATAAGCTGGTAAATATTTTATGACCTATTCAGTAATAGCTCTAGGTCTTGCTAGATGTAGGTGTGTTTTTCCAGCTCTGTTAGCTCTGTTAGAGTCCGTCGGGCTGGTGCGGACTCATCACCTTAGTTGGTGCAGCTCGTCGACATATGTTGTCTCGTCTGGATATGGATTTGCGATCTGGCCAGCGATATAACGGTGACAAAATGCGCTCATCTCATCCGTTCGACCAACTCTTCTAGTTCAGTGTTACCCAGCCCAAAAAAGATCGGCGATATGGACGTTTCGGTACCTTATTGCATTTTATTTTCCCCTCAGTTGCCGTTACTACACACAGTAATGAGTAAATTCATCGCACACATTGAACCCAAGATCACAGTTGCGGTTGGATTCTGGGATATGCACTAGGACATTAATGTCGAGGATGACATCGGGAGTTGTACTGGCCACTGGCCATATCGGTCAACATTTTATATTAGTGATAACTTTTCTTAGTTCTCATAATCGATGCAATTCTGATTCCTATACTGATGCAATGTTGATACAATAACTGATTCAGAAATGGTCGTATAGTCGATTAATTCGATTGATTCGAGAGTAACCTATTAAACACAGCACTATGCATTTACATTTTATAAAACGTGAATAGTTATGCAGTATGCGCAGCTGTATCTTCGGGGAGCAGACGTCGGTGTCCGAGGTCATCTGGCAGTAGGGATCTTGATGGATTCGTAGGTTCACGATGATGACAGGAGTGCTTGGAAATTGGAAGGCTCGCGATCTTCTTTCAGGAATGGATGAGGAATATGCCTGGAATAGAGTAAGGAGAATCAGCATCGGGAAGGTGGTGGTTGGCAAATGACCAGTGGCCGTTGAAGTTGTTCCTATTAAACGATTGTCTTAAAAAGGATTGCTATTTCTACATATGTATCACTGAAGTGCTTTATTCAAAGATACATCAGTACTGAATGTTAGTAAGGCCATTTCCCACCTTTTCTATGAAAATTAGAACTTAAAAAAATCAGTAGACCATTTTTTCAAAAAAATAGTTACATCCTCTGGCGGCTTTTTTTCTACATCCTCCCCCAAACGCAAAATGGATTTGGCCACACTGTAGAAGTATCTCATACAGCTGGCTACCTGAGGCCGGATATACCTATGACACGCCGGCTGACAACCAGTGAAATCGATTATTATCGTGTAGCACTACACTGACACACATTCCCGGATTCTTTGTGCGGGCGTGTGAAGGTAGAGAACTGGTCGATAATGTTACAAGGCAACTGTCAGTTATCACCCTTTCCGAAACTCATAGAGCTTGTTATGATGATGAGTACGATCAACAATATTATCGCAGTTCGTTCCATCTACGTGTAAGCATCATTAGGAATGTGAGTCCAGCGAAGCACGATCAGCCGATTTCAGCCCTCCTGGGCAGGGTAGCAAGCTTGCACTGTGCATGGGGTCGACCATGGCCTAGAACGGCTAGCCGTACGCGGCCTGAATCATGAGTCGGTGATTCAGACACATCACCTCCCTCAGAGAGCAGCATCTCACAACAGTCAGTGCGGTCAGTGAGTGGCACACACTCGGACTAAAGCGAGAAGTGTGGGCCATGAGGAGACATTTTCCGTTTGGGCAGGCCATTCCGAGATCCGACCTTCGTGCATTAGACGAGAGCATGACCTTCACGTTGGAATAGGACCAGACGTTGGTCAGACGGTAGGCCATAAATAAAATATCCAGATAAATGGGACAGCGTTTTAAATTCGTAAATGTCTTACATCTACGTCATACGGGTCAGACAGAGACCTCCAGTTGCAATGAGACACACCGGACGCGTGTACGGCCACTTCCGTTCAAGTTGGAAATTCACGAACCACGAACACCCACGGGTCAGCATGAGCCTGCACCACACACTGGTGGGCTGTAAGAATCTAGCAATGCCCCACGCAGCGTGGTGGCTCACTCCCTGCAGTCCTCGCTGGCTTATACGCCAGCCCCGTCACCCCATCCGTCTGCCGCCCACCCGTCCCGCAGAGTACGACGACGCGGCGCCCTGCGCTGGCGGCCACCGAGAGGTCATTACCAACCGGCTGATGGATGGTGACCGTCCCCCGACGGCGGTCGACCGCGGCCAGCGCTGCAGATAGACGGACGCTGTCCTCCGAAAGCAATGAGGATACAGCCCGGCAACATAGAAATATGGGACATGGGCCCTGTCCTGTCCTCCAGATGGAGAAGGAAGACGCCGTCCGGACATGGTAATACATAACACAGATGGAGGGAAGACGGTCACGCTCTCTCAGAACTAGGGCTGAAATATAGCATTTATAATAAAACAATACCGTACAACAAATCGGGCGCGAGTAGTTTCCAAGGAAACTTTCCGAGTCATCCCAAGAAGAGCGTACACACTTGTAGTGAAGCCAGGAAAACAGGCATCCCCGGATATGAAAAAGAGGCTCTACATAGAAATAAGAACAATTTCAGGCACCATGCTCCATAGAGCTCGCAGCGTTCGTCGCCTCCTTCTAGCAGTTGGTTACCAACAGAAACTCCCTGAGGCACCTGTACCCGGTAGGTCATGTCGCGTGACCCTCACGGCTCACAAAGGTCACGAGGTCGTCACTGAGGCCCTGTCTGTGCCCCCGAGCCCCGAGAGAGGAGCTCCGACGACCCCAACAGGCACCATCGGGTCCGTCCTTTGTTCCGCTCGGTGTTTGATCACGTTAGGGCTATTTGGGGTGTGTTGTTTGTGGGAGGATATTGGCTGTCTCTCGTTTATTTGTTGATCGAATGCTGGTTTCATGTAGGTCGCAGCCACCACTAGTACTGACATGCCAATCGGAGATCGAGACAAATTATATGCCAGCAGAAAAAAGACCAAGTACTGCTGAGGGCTGAGCGCAAATTGAGCCAACACAAAAGTCATGCAGCTATAACTGGGAAGATCCACGGATCCAGTTTCGTCTCCGTTTGTCCAGCCTGACCAGACGTAGAAACCCCTAGTTTGTACACGATCCTCAGCCCCCCTAATTTATCACACCAAATCGCCCACACAGCGCCACTTAACCATGTTTCCGCGCATCCATAAACAAAAACATCCCACGACCCATACTGGGGGCTACCCGCCCACCACAACACGACATCTCCCCATTAGCATGTCCCCGTCACAGGTGATCGGCGATCGCGCTGCCACCGAGCCGACACCGCATGGTGCCATTGGTAAACCACAGCAGGCACACTGTCGGATCAATGGTACTGCTTGACACGGACGGGGAGTCGGTACAGCACCCGTGACAGGCGCCCCAGCGCAGCGTAACGAGCGGCCTGGCGCCTGGCTCTGAATGGATAACGGTAGATTATGAGTGGTTTATGTTGTAATTTGAGTTAGTGAAATCAGTGGGGACCGCTTTCAGTGACTTTGTTTATAGCATACACGGTGTCTGAGAACTATCCGGCAGTTGATCATAAGGCTTTCCGGCTGAGAGTTAAATATTTATACACCATTCACGTGCGTGCTGTTCAAACTTCCGCATGTTTTACTGGAATAAGAAAAGCTGGAGGTAAGTCGGCCTTCAATGTTATTACTCACTGGTCTGGAGTATTTCATCCTTGCTGAGGATGGACCATGACGAATCATCTTGATAAAAAAAATGCAGCAATGCCACTCAATCATGATTCATAATCGCAAGTAACAACCAAGTATATAAATTGTGTCCATTCTGAAGTTCAACTATCACCAAATTTGAGTCCCCGCCCTAATTTGTTTGCTCTCCTGCTCATAACGCACGGCGCGCAAGGAGCTAGCCGCACTGACAACCCATGAACAGTTTTTGCGCGCATACAGTCGTGCTAGCCCATCGGCCGACCCGACAGGTTAGGCGGCCCGTCAAACAGATGTGATACAGATCCTCCGCCGCGTGGGGTGAAAGTCCAGCTGCCTTATCAGGTCACTGGCACCCTCTTTCCCTGTCGAGGGTTGATATCGCTCCGAACTTCGGGACGATGAAGGTCAGTGTGCGTGATCACACAATCTCATATGATGTATCTGGTCTTGCAACAGCTGTTAGGCTGCATCACAACGGTAGACGGCCTGTTACAAAGAATGCTCCTTAGACCCTGGCACATTTCTAGCACATACACAGCGTGACACACACCAAACAAAACAAAGTGCACGACTATGCATAACCCTTTCACAAGAGTTCCTCATCTCACCCACTCAAACACAAAATCTCCCTCCAGTAATCCCCTAGCACACCTTCAGTAATCGTCACAGCACCTAGCACACCATCAGTAACTCCTTTGTCCCTCCCCTCCCCCCCTCCCCGGTCGTACTCACCACACAATCAACGTTGGCAATGCCGGGTCCGTGGGTGATGAGAGTTCGAACCACCTCAACGCTACCCGTCCAAGCAGCCAGATGGAGTGGCGTGGAGCCGCGGTGGTCGGCCAGGTTCACAGAGGCCTCGTGGGACATGAGCAGTGCCACCACGTCCCTGTGAGAGTGGCGGGGAGGGGGAGGGTCAGTCAGGGTCAGTCGGTGTGTGAACGAGGGTCAATGGCGGGTCAACAGGAGTCAACAGGGGTCGTTTGGAGGTCACATGAGTCATTGGTGGTCGGCAAGGGTCAATGTGGGTGAAAAGGGGTCAGTGTGAGTAAAAAGGGGATCCGGTCGTCGCCAGTCTAGGTGAAGGAGGGTCAACAGAGATTCAACAGGGGTCAGATCAGATGGGGTCAACGAGGATCAGCTGAGGTCAGTCAGGCATCGGCAGGGGCCAGAATGGCAAGGAGAAGGTGGGGGTCAGCCGTCAGCACGATTCAGCCATGGTCGGGGACTCGGGAAGACTATCAGAAATTTCTGGCCAACGGGGTGAGCAAATGACGAGACCCTGAACCAACAGTCGCTCTCCGCATCTAACCGCCAAAATTCGGCGCTATTCGGTCACCAGTCTGTTCTCTGTTGTTATTCCTCCTCTCCTTTCCTCCCATCGTCAGGCTCTCGCGCTACCCTCTGTTGGTCCGGAACAGGTCATTTCCTCGCCGGCTCCCATCCGCCGGGTCCCTCCCATCCCCCGACCCAGCCTGGACGGATGCTCTGTGTACTCTGCCTGCGCGCGTGTTGGTTTTGACGAATGGCGGACCGGGTGCTGCCTGGTGCGTGTCGCCACCCGGCACGAGCCGCCACCAAGCGGCACAGACATCACCAGGCGACACAGACAGACATCACCAGGCGACACAGACAGTCGTCACCAGCCGGAACTAGGTGGCGCGTCAGACAGCACCAGTCTAGCAGCCGTCGATAGCGACTATCAGCCGTCACCGACATGAGCCAGACGCCACAATCAGCCAGCAATGGTCAGCAGCGACTAATGATGGAGAGCGGTCACCACGACTCATCAACGGCGAGCAAAGTCGTCGGCGGCAGGCGCCAACAGCGACCGGATGTGACGCAGCAGCAATCGGATGTGACGAAGGATCATAAGTCTGTCGCATATCACCAGGCTTTATCAGACGACAGTAACACATCGGTAGCTGTGTTACTAGAGTTAATCGATTGGTTGGATCGTTTGTATCTGAAGAATTGTTGTTTTACTTTCATCGGGAGTGGTGAGCATTTCGGTTTTAGCCGCATATAATGACATTCAAAAGCATTCAATGGCATTATGTTTAGATGAACGATGAGGATCCTGTTTCTCACAAAACGTCACACTTGACACGGGCCTCCTGCCCATCTGTCTTGGCGTACCGGTTCCATCTCCCCGCTCCGACCTCCCCACGAGTGCCACGCGTGGAGACGCTTCCGCCGGGGCACGTGCTGAGATGAGTCAAACGGGTCTCCGGGTACAGCGCCGGATGGCTGCTGCGTCCGGTAAAAACTCCGTTCGAGACGAAGTCCCGGTCTGACCGACACGTCACAGGCATATCTATCCTTCCAATGACCCGGACCGCCTTACAAAGAGATCAATGCTCCCAGACTTGAAACCAAGCCGAGATCTGGACATGTGCCAACAACCTCATCAGCCTCCATTGATGCATTCATACAGCACCCATCCTAACTGTGATAAATCGACCGCCGGCCGCCGCGGACAGTCGTAAGTCAGACACCGACCGTGTCCGAGCATAGCGACCCACACACGCCTCCCGCGGCCCGTCTCATTGCCTTCCGCCCAGTAAGGAGGCATGAATAAGGCCCGTTCACACCCCCGCACGCGGCGGGAGCCAGACGCTCCGACATTATCTGTGGATCACGGGTCGGACCACACCCGTGTTTGGGCATCACTGTGTTACGGTGTGAGCCGATACGCATTCTGAACGGGCGGTGAATTATTCATATACTGAGAGAGAAGTGAGCGGCCGTCGAAATCCGACATGTGGAAGGACTTAGGAAGGGACGGAATGGGGAGGGGGCGTGGCGAGGTCTCCGAGACAGTGTGGATGAATGAAATGTCGCCTGTGATGTTGATTTTAAGGCCTCCAAGGGTAGTACAATCAACGGTGAGTCATCGCAAATCGACGCGATTTCGTGTGGCCTCTCCTATCTTTACCAGATAGCGGTACTAACAAATGCAACCGGGATGCAATGGTAGTAGGTATCGTTAAGACATTGAAAACATACGATGCTTGACTGAAAAGTTATGATCTTCGATCCGGGGCTCGATTTGTCTGTTACAAAAAATATCGAACTTCGCTCGATAGGTCCAATAACAAGTTGACGGATACGTTACTTCGTCGATCTCTGGGTTCAACAGGCCCGTTAGGTACTGATTCAGCTACCTACGCAATTCAATAGGCCCGTTACGGGTTCAGTCTCGGGGTTTAATGTGCCCATTACAGGTTCAGCATCGGGGTTCAATCGGCCCACTACGGGTTCAGCCTTGAAGCTCATAAGGTCCTTTGCGGGTTCATTGGCAGGGTTCAAGAGAGTCACCCATTACGGGTTCCGTCTCGTTGCTCGTTGAGCCCGGAACAGTCTCTCTGGGCCGACCGCCCCACCCCGTGTCGTCTTTGAGTGATGGAGCGACCATCACCCACAATCGTCAACACGATACCGCGGTCGGTAAGCCACTGACGTCACCGGCACCGAGCAGTCACACCCTTCAAACGGCTGTTTGATAGCGGTCAGCGGTCCTCCGATCGGGCCGCGTCCGCACAGTTAGGCCGGCCGACCCCACCCAGCGTCCAGAGCTCGGTGTCGAACTGCTCAGAATATGGAATAGAAATATCGAAACAATATCGAAATGATCGGAATAGGACGTAAGTCACGACACATAGCTACGTACGGATGATGTCACGACTCGTGACGAATATAGCAAAGCCGTAGTTTTCAGGGGATATTCGTAGTTGTGACCGATCCCACTGAGTAGTGAGCACCCAGGTGTCCATGAAGCATTTTACTGCGATAGTAGGACGTCAGTCCGGCCTCGGACATGACATGAAGCCGGGACAAGTCCCCAGGGGCCTTACCTGTGGCCGTTGAGCGCCGCATGATGCAGCGCTGTGTATCCGCTGGGATCCTGTATGTTCGGCCCCGGTCCGCGGCGCAAACTGTCAACGAAAAACAGCTGATTAGAGCACTGCATGCATGTGACTGATTTAGGTGAGCACTGAAGCCATATAAAGTCTTTTAGTCATCCCAGCAATGAAACATACCATGGTGAACCAGATGCTCAATAACAATGTTTGACTTTTAACAGAATGGTACCTATGGAGGCTTTGCAAGAAAAGGACTTATGGGAGGTGTTTGTAAATGCATTCTAAAAGTAAAAAGGCTTGCATGGAAATAACTATACCTTGGTCAAGCTGGGTTTATGATTCAAATGCCTAGTCTCTATCTTCCTTACACATAGGCGGCGGAACGGGGAGGGCACCGGGGCACCGTGCCCCCTTTGATTTTGGCATTGTAACATTAGCCCTATGGGCGTTGCATGGAAAGAATGGGAACAAAAGTCGACAGTGCCCCCCGTTAATTGAAGGTGTTCCGCCGCTACTGTCCTTACAAATGATAGAGAGATAAGGTAGACATGCCTTTACCAGCTGTGAAGCATCACAGGTCACAGGAAGTAGGAATAAGCTATGGTAGGTGCATAGGTATCATTTCAACCCATGATACATGGAAGGTCAAACAGAGATATACTCATAGGTGTGCTGGTTTTTACTGGCTTCTGTTGCCTGAACAAAGGGGTAATGGCCACAGACACAAGGTGATGACTGATGACTATCATTTACCATTTCACCCAAAAATTATTTGAACTTCCATCAGAAACTGATAAAACAATATGAATGAAAATCCACATGAAGTAGGTACAGGTACCTACTTACTTAATTCATACTTCATAGCTAATAGCTATGACTTACAAATCAGAATATATCCTTTGTAACAATTTGTCAAAATTCTCAAACTAAACTTAAATTAGTAAAACCTCTATTAAAATTTCTGAAAAGCAGAGCTCATGTGTTCAGCTTTTCATGTCAATATAACAGTTAACACATATTCATATGACTTAGATGTAACATGTAATGTAAGGCCACTAGGCACATTCCGAGCCTTAAATGCACTAGCTCACCTTGCTAAGGGACCAGACCGCTTAGTCCTCTGCAGAAGAATCTTTTCAACGGCTGCATAATGTCCATTCCTGGCTGCATCCAGCAGCTCTTGGTCTTTTCCCATTGTGGCAAGTTTCTCAGCTTGACATTTGAATCTGAATATTGTCTTGTGCCACTCAGATGACAGATCAAGATAAAATGATCATGCTGATGCCGCTTCTTCGTGAAACTAGGCGCACTTGAAAACAAACGCACAGTACATCATAAGGAAACGGATGAATTCTGTAATTAACGATCAATTGCAAGTATCGTAATGTCAGTCAACACACCCCAATATCGCACGCCCACCTTGCGCGCCCACCCTCCTCAGATCACCACAATCAACTGAATAGATTTTGTTTATCGATCAGTGGTCTTAGTGCTGCCACCTATCCACAACAGGTTTTGTCCGATTTTTTGCTCGCAAAAAGAAAATTCAAAGGATTCTGAACGGTTATAAAATCAGTTTAAAAAATCTAATTAATACTTTTAAACAAAATACCTGACTTCAATAATGATACTTGATTAAATTTGCTCAAAAGCAATCTATTGTGTATTTCTGGGAGCTTCAAACTCAGCAGGTGATTGGCTACCACTTGAGGTCACGTGGGTTCGGTATAAAGTGTACCGATGCGATGCGATGCGATGCGATGGTTTTCGGAGGTTTAGCCTTTGTATCGGCACCTCCTTGATTTCTTAATCTTTAACTTTTACTTTGATCGATGGGTTGCATTGTTATGGTTGGTTTGTGTGGCTAGGATTCTCACTAGGGGACAGGATTGGGTGTTGGGAGGATGAAGGTCAACTAGGATGGAGAACTTTGTTTTATTTCCAGCAGTCTTCTTTTCTTCCACAGCTTAAGCAATACTTCTTTCTTTTCTTCGATATCTTCCTCCTCAAACAGAAATATCCCTAAAATATCCTTTGCATAGGGTTTCTGAAGATGCATTGATTCTTTTCTTTCTTCTTCGTAGGCTGGGCAATTCAATATAAAGTGGGCGAGGTCTTCATTTTCTGCATTGCACATCATACATCTTGTGTCCTCTTTCTTGTATCTCTTGCGCTCATTTAGAGGAAGACAGTTAGCTCTTGCCTGGAAAAATATTGTTGATGCTTGCTGGTTGTCAATAAACGTTACTTCCTTCATCTCCTTTTTCCAGACAATATACAGGGACAGAGTAGTTTTAGTTAACAATTCCTCCTTCCATTTCTTTCCATCCCATTTTTGCATGTGTGTTTTAAGGTCTTGTTTGCTTATCTGGTACAAATCCTTTACTTTGAGTCCGACTTCCTTAATAATGGAATAGGTTACCTTTATCCATTTGTTCTTGCCCTCGTCCATCATTTCTGTTAACACCTCTTTGAGTAGTTGATTTTTTCCTTGCAATATGCTTCTCATGTACTGAAGTCTTCCAGTTTTAATCCTTGTTGTCATCAGAGATGCTCCAATTTCTCCTCTCAATGCAGCATTTGGTGCATATTTTGGAGCCCCCAAGATCTGTCTGTAGACACCATTTTCGATTACTTGCAGCTTCTTGGTCTCTTCCTCTGTGACTGTCATGACACTGGAGCCGTACAGTATTGATGGCAGTGCTAGGGATTTCCAGTAGGTCTTACCAATCAGCAGTCTGTTGCATGATTTTGAAATTACTGAATAGGTCATGTTTGCCATTCTTTGTGCCTTTTCAATCATGATTCTTTTCTGCCCTCTGAACACATCCCTTGTATTTGTTACTTTCAGACCTAAGTATTTTATGTTTTCTTTTACTTCAATATCTTCTATGCTTCTGTGCTGTTCTTTCAGATTAAATGTGATAATGTTGCTCTTATTCTTGTTTATGTTTAGTCCACACTCCTTGCTAATTGCTGTCAGTCTTCTGATGCTAGTCTCTGTTTCTTCAATAGAATGGTTCAGTAGGAGCCCGTCGTCAGCAAAGAATAGGATTGGCAGCGTAAATTTGCAGCTTCTGAACCCTGCTTCTGTTGCCTCCATTACTTTTGTGATGATATAAGTCATGAGCTTGAAGAAGGCAGTTGATCCTGTACACCCTTGCCGTATACCACTTGTTACTAAAATCTCTAACTTAATGTTCTCATTTAGTTCAATCCAGGTTCTGTCTCCTTGGTATGTGGCTGCCACAGCATCAATCATTTTGGGGTGAATCTTGTATTTCATGAGCACCTCTACCATCCTAGCTCTATCGATGGAATCAAACGCCTTGCTGTAATCAATTGAAGTAACAATCAGAGGTGCCTTCATTTTAAAGCTTTCTTCCACACAGTACTGTAATAGGAAAAGGTTGTCCTCTATCCTTCCTCCTCTCGTAAACCCTGCTTGTGTCTCTAACTTTTGCTCTGCGCTTTCTAGATGATCTTCTAGTCGCTGTTTTAGAATTGACATGTAGATCTTATATGACACATTCGTTAAAGCAATTGGTCTCAAGTCTTTGGCAGTTGGCTTAGACGTCTTTGGTATCATTTTCGTCCTTGATATCTTCCATTCTGATGGCGTGTCACTTCTCTCGAGGACTTCTTGGTAGCAGCCTGTCAGTATCTTCAAGCATTTGTCATTTTTTATCAAAGCTTTGTATAGTTCTGGCTTGAGTTCATCTGGTCCTGCCGCTGACTTGTTCTTAAGCCTGCCTATACATTTGGTGACTTCTTCCTCAGTTATTTGTATATCTTCCATCTTCTTCATCCTCTTCCTACTGTTCATGGCCATATCCATATGTTCTCTCAGTGTGATTGGGAAACTATATCCTTTTATTTGTATCTGGTCCTGTTTCTCTTTCTCCAGATCTGCAGTATAGGTTAGCTTCGCCCTATCGTTCCACACTTCTTCTAACTTGTTTTCATGTCTTTGATAGATTTTCTTCCAGACACTTGCTAAGTTTTCCTTTTCTTCTTCTCCTTGCAGCATTTGTCCAGCTTCTGTGAATAGGCGAACTGGACTGTTATCCTTTTGCTTTCCTTTAAGTTTGTTGATATTCTCCCAAAGTGCCTTGCTTTTGTAGCTACTATAACGTATTTCGTCAGTCACTTTCTTTTCATGCTTTGCTATTTCTTCCTTGATGAGTAGCTTTGTCAGTCGTTTCTGCTCATAATATTTTTCATATAATCTGCTCTTTTCTTCTTCTGACTTTGCATTTCTCCTGAGTCTGTTGAAGGCTTTCCTTTGCTTGATTTGTTTCCGTATTTCTTCGGTCATCCATGGTTTTTCTTTGATTTTTTCATTCTTTCTGTCAGTTTTTCTTCTGTACCTTCTTGTAAGCAATTTCTCTGCCACATCCTTCATTATCACATTGAGATCTTCCATTAGGCATATGTTATCAGCTTCTATTCTCTGTAGTACCTCTTGCACGAAGCCCAACAATGATTCTTGGTCTGTCTTAAAGAAGTATTCATCTTTCCATTTAGCTTTATTGAGACTCAGTGACTTTTCATCTTTGAAAAACACTGTGATCATGTTGTGATCTGATAGATCTAGTAGTTCTTGACTTTCATCAATTTTCATCTTAAGGATAGACTGATGCATCTTACTGTTGACCAGCACATAGTCAATAACACTTCTGTATTCTTTACTTCCCCATGTATACAAGCCTTCACATATGTCATCACCATTCAGTAAAATCATATTGTTTTTGTTTATCACATCAATGACAAATTTTCCGTTCCTATTCTCTTTTTGGCTTCCTAGGAACCCTACATGTCCATTAAAATCCCCCAACAACATTGTTGCCATGTCTGGACTTTCTTCTAGCTTCTCTTCAAGCTCTTGTTTGATTTTCTCATTTCGTGTTTTGTCTTCTGGTTTTGTTTCAACTGACATGTAAACAAGTATTATCCTAACCTGTTTGTTCAATATACTTCCCCTCACTTCCAAAACATCTTCGTTCTCTGAAGGGGCTTTACTTAAAGTGACACCACTGTTTTGTTTATACAAAAACATGAGCCCTCCTCCTTTCTTGTCCTTTTGTTTTCTCATGCTCTCTATCTTGATCAAGTTCTTGTCAATCTCAAGTTTATCATATCTCTGGTGGGTCTCAGTAATACATAAGATGTCACAACTGTAGGCTAACAATTCTTCTAGTTCTGCCAGCTTTTGCTTTGTTAATCCTTGTATGTTAATGAGATTCAATTTGTAAACCTTTCTACTTTCTTGGTTGTCGGTCTTCGACCCCTTGTTTGTTGTTTGTTTCCTGTACCTTCCATCCTTGCTTTCTTTCTTTCTTACTGTGTTACTTTGTTTCCCTTCCTTTCGACAACCCTCCCCCGAGAAATGACATGGGTTTCTCGCCCTTTCTTGAGCCACTCCTCTCTCAGTCTTCTCTGCTTCTCCCTTTCTTCGGGAGGTAGGTCCCTTGTAATGTAGGTATTTTCTAATGTCCATCAAGTTAGCGTCGTATTCGTATTCGTTTTCAGCGTCGAGTTCAAAACATCGCCAAACTATGCCAAACGATAGATCTTGACACGCTAATTCCAAAAATATCACTCATTTTTTCCTAGGTCAAATATTTTGACCTCTAGGGGCAAAAAACCACTCTGGCTATAAACAACAATAAGGTACTTCTTTATTTACCGTCCGATCGGGCTGAAACTTACACAAAACATGTGCCGCCACACAAGGATGCGACACAATCAACAAAATCGCCGATCAAGGTCAAAGGTCAAGGTCATATTTGCGAAAAACCGTTATTTTTCGACGGGGTACCAAATAAAAACTTTATTTACCGTCCGATCGGGCTGAAACTTACACAAAACATGTGCCGCCACACAAGGATGCGTCACAATCAACAAAATCGCCGATCGAGGTCAAAGGTCAAGGTCATATTTGCGAAAAACCGTTATTTTTCGACGGGGTACCAAATAAAAACTTTATTTACCGTCCGATCGGGCTGAAACTTACACAAAACATGTGCTGCCACACAAGGATGCGTCACAATCAACAAAATCGCCAATCGAGGTCAAAGGTCAAGGTCATATTTGCGAAAAACCGTTATTTTTCGACGGGGTACCAAATAAAAACTTTATTTACCGTCCGATCGGGCTGAAACTTACACAAAACATGTGCCGCCACACAAGGATGCGTCACAATCAACAAAATCGCCGATCGAGGTCAAAGGTCAAGGTCATATTTGCGAAAAACCGTTATTTTTCGACGGGGTACCAAATAAAAACTTTATTTACCGTCCGATCGGGCTGAAACTTACACAAAACATGTGTCGCCATACAAGGATGCGTCACAATCAACAAAATCGCCGATCGAGGTCAAAGGTCAAGGTCATATTTGCGAAAAACCGTTATTTTTCGACGGGGTACCAAATAAAAACTTTATTTACCGTCCGATCG